GAGTGACCAATGCCAAAGGCACTCCAACATCCTCCATCGTCCTGCAACGACCTTCTTAGCCCTCAACAGCCCTAGGCCCTTTGCAAAATGGGGAATGGACCTACTCGGACCTTTCCCCTTGGCCACAAGGAACAAGAGATACCTCATCGTGGTAGTAAACTATTTTACCAAATGGGTCAAAGTTGAGGCCTCGGCAACCATTACGGCTAAGAAGAAAGATTCAAAGCTTCTTTTGGAAGAATATCATTTGCGAATTTGGCATCCCATACATACTCGTCACCAACAACGGTCGATAGTTCGACGACTCCAAATTCAGAGAATGGTGTGGAAGCCTGGGAATAAGGCACCAATACACCTAGGTTGGTTACCCTCAAACTGACGGGCTAGTTGAGGTCACTAGTAGAACATCTTATACGAATTGAATGCAAGGTTAGATAGAGCCGAAGGGCTTTGGGTGGATGAGCTGTACAACATTCTATGGACATACCGAACGACACCTCGGATTTCCACGGGAGAAACTCCCTTCAACTTGACATATGGGAAAGAGGTCGTCATCCCAATAAAGATTGTCCAGCCAATACTTCACACCGAGACATACTATGAAGCTAAGAACAATGAAGAGTTACGAAACAACTTTGACCTCTTGGAATGTGTCCGAGAGCAAGCCCAAATCAAGGTCGCGGCCTACTAGCAAAGAGTTGTAAGATATTATAACTCCCAAGTTACAGAGAGTCACTTCAAGGAAGGTGACCTTGCCCTCAAAAAGGTCATGGTTCCCGAGTCTAGCATCGGAAAGCTTGGTCCAAACTGGGAAGGGCCCTACAAAATCAAGCAGGTAGTAGGACCCGATACCTTTCGGCTAGAGTACATGGGTGGAAGGCCAATTTCTCATACTTGAAACTCTAAAAATCTCCGAATGTACTATCACTAGAAGTGTAAATACTTTATTGGAAAATTGTAAATGAAAAGTCCAAGTTCCTCTCACTTCGGATCTTTCTTTGTGTAAACGTTCTCATCCCCCTTCAGCCGCCAGGACCCCTTGGCCAACCAATCGCAACATACAACATTTCTTAAGGTTATATGCTCATATCAAACATTAGCCCCCACGGCTGACTGACTGTAGCATACGACCTTCTTTAAGGTTATACACTCAAACCAGACGTTGGCACAAGGCACACGACATTTTGTGAGTCATACGCCTAGTTGCCTTTTGACCTTCTTTAACTAAGGCAAGAGCTTTTGGGACCTCGGCAACTGTTGATAAATGGCCGACAATCCCGGCCTCGGCCTCAAAGACCCTTAAAGAAGCGAGTCTTTTTGAAGGCCAAAGAGTCAACGTCGACCAATTATCTAAATAAAAAACATGATGAATGACGTACTAAGTAAACAATCACTTCTCCACTAGGGAACTACTCGTGGCCTTGGCCGCAGAATCCCCGCAGAATGACACACTAAGAAAAGGAAATTTTTTCACTAAGCCAAAAAGTTTCAAGACCTCGACAACTATTATTGAGTGACTTGTGACATCAACCTCGGCCTAAAGGACACTAATATGAAACTTCTTCACGCAAGGCTAAGTAGAGAGCACTTTAGCAAAAGAGAAATACTTTATTTAAGGATTGTAAGTTTCTTAACAAAGATGCCTCTTCAGGTGGAGGCATCGACCCCTTGCACAAAAAATGCCTTTACCAAAAATATTGAGAAGGAACCATTGTAAAGACTCAAGTGTCTTTACAAAAAATGCCTCTTATGGTGGAGGCATTGACCCCTTACAGGAAGAAAAAGTATACAAGTTTTAGGGGCACGTAGGCCCAAACAAAAGAAAATTATCTATTGACCCCCTTCGGTTTGAGTAATGGCATTGACAGTCGATCTTTTGCCCGTCCCCAGTATATCCACTAACTGTTGAGCTTCAGTAGCGAATAGGTCCATCTGGTCGACGTTGAAGCTTAGAAGAATCTCCAACACTTGGGCCTTGCAATCGTCGAAGCCCTCTAAGTAAGACTAGGAGGCAAAGGAGGTTAGGTTCATCTCGTGCTCCTCCGAGGCCTTATACTTTTTGACCGCCTTCGCGGCCGCCTCCTACAATTGCTGCTCTATCGACGCTAGTGAGGACTTCAACTTATTCACGAGCTCACTCTTAGCAGCCACCTTAGCCTCGACCTTTTTGTGACATTTGTGCTCATCACAGATCCGCCCCTCGAACTCTACCAATTGCTACCTTAGGCGCTCAATCTCCTCTTGCGCCTATTGAAGCATCTGGATCAACACCTCTACCTTGTCGTAGAGAGCAACCAAGTAGGAGACCATCTGCACAAAAAAGGGAAAAACATTGGTCATATTCCACCAAAAAGGCCTCAACCACATAACGGACTCGAGAAGTATGCGCATATCTCCGAGTTGTGCTACCGATAGCACCCTTCTCGGCGGCTCTCTTAGATGCCACGGCCTCCAACAACTTCACGTTTTTGTTGTCGTCCATTTTTGCCAACAAGAGAAAACCAACATGTTAGAAAAGCGACCACGAAATTCAAGTAATGTTACAACTAGCAAACAACAAAAGTGCCCATACCGGGGGGGGG